TGTTGAGCTGAAAAAGAGCAGTTTGTCCCGGACTTCAGCTGCAATGAAAAAGACACAAAGCTGGATTTATTCTGTGTCTTTGCTGCACAGCTGCCTCTTCTCCTCTCATCCTCCCCCCTCCCTCTCCTGTTTCTACTTCAATCATGAAACTGATCAATGATCAGCTGATCGGCTCTCTTGTTTGTTTATTGCTCACTTTGCGCCAGAAAGAGGAAACCAGCTGTCATGGTCCTGGGTCTTTTGACCCAGCGTTTTAAGTTTGAGTTTATTTTGTTCATTAGGTTATCTAAGTTCATTTGGTTATTAGACTCCTTGTGTTTTCTTCCCCTGTATTTAAGCTTCCCCTCACCCTTCGTGTTTCATGCTGTCTTATGTTCATGTCTTATGTTATCAAGTTTGTATTATTATGCCTAAGTGTTTCTAGTTATTATTTCCCCCTCCATTTCCAACCATGTTAAATCTCCCCTGCTCTTCATGCATTTCATGTCTGTGTCTTACGTTGTCAAGTTCTGGTTGTCGTGTCTAAGTCTGCATGTTTCCTGTTTTATTTTGAAAAGGGGTCTTGTGTTCTGTGCTCATGCGGTTAGTTTTACTCTTGCCTGTGCATCATTATGTTTATCCTAGTCAGCTGTTTCCTCATGTGTCTCCACTTCCCCTAATCACCTCCTGTGTATTTAAGTCCTCTGTTTTCAGTGTGTGATTGTCAGGTCGTCTGTTGTCCATGCCATGCTTCCAAGTTTCTTGTCTAGGTTTTTCTTATTGTTTGTTTAGATTCCCCAGTTTAGGTTTGTGTTAATTTTGCTTCAGTTTGCCTTGCCCTTTGTTTGTACCTTTTCTACCAGCCATATTAAACGGCTCGCCTTTTGTTAACATTCCAAGTTCTGTTCCCTGTTCCTTGGAGTCTGCGTTTTGGGTCCTTTTCTCAATTCATACAGTCTGCCCTCGCCAGACTGTGACACCAGCGGATGTCGCGCTAAACAACAGCAGCACGTTAAAGCTTGATCAGCTGTTGTTAGAATTTATTTAATATTAATTTCTAGTATCAGCTGATGTTTGCTGGAGCCACAGCTGTAAAGCTGCTGGTCATGATGTCGGTTTGGATATGTGGTGAGAGGGAAACATGAAGATGAAACCAGGAGATGTCCTTACTGGATCATCAGAGCTGTGATGGAGAAACAGGTTTACCTTTTAGGTGACATGAATGAGTTGAAGTTATGAACTGTTTCTGAGAGACAAATAACACCAGGATCCTTTTTTATGTAGCTGACAGCTGGTAACTGTGCAGGGGCGGGTCTAGCAAAGTGTTGCCAGGGGGGCATGTAGGGCATTAACAGGGAGAGGGGGGCACAAAGAAATACTTCTCTTTCTTATTCTCATTTAAAATGTCTCGCTTTTATTAAATAATTATCTGAATCTTACAACAAACGTTTTCATCAATGCATAGAAATCCATTATTGTACATAGTAATTTTTTTAGGGTCCCATCATAATTTCTTCAGTAAGTACTGTACATGATGCCAGTATTTTCCCACACTTTCTAGATTCTGCACCAGTGCTGTGTGTAAAATGCCATCAAAAAGTCAGTTAAGTTTTATTCTTTCTCACCTGTCTTTCTGTCTCCTTTCACTTTTTAAAGGTTGCCATGTCAGAAAAAATATTTTTGATGTGGCAAATGAATGGTTTATGAAAATATATCTAAATCTGTCATCAGTAATCTGTAATGATCATGTCTCACCTCTTCTCTGTCTTAATTTCAGGTTTTCACCGTGTGTTGTAGATAGTTCAGGAGGTTAACTCGACCAAGCAGTCTGCTTCCAGGTACTGTTTAGAATAGCAGAACAGGGAGGATGGTGTAGGTTTAAGTTTATTAGACTGATGCATGTATACCAACAAGACCGGTCTGGGTCCTTCTGCAGGTCCGTGAAGCTTCAGGTGTTTTCGGTCCAGATTACAGACAGAGGAACAGAAACAGTCATTTTATTACTTTTTTCAGTCGTGCTTGTGCTCGGCTCTTCAAAATAAAGTTTCATCTCTTTGCGTTCACATGGCTCAGCGACACACTGACGATGTGATCAGACATGTTCCTGATGTCATTCCTGTGGAGTGAAGGAGTTGTCATGACGGTGTGTCACCTGCAGGTGGCGACGTTGGCTCATGCTGGCCGTGCTGAGCAGAGCTGATGCTCTCACTGAGTTTTTGTTGTGCTGCTGTCACTAAACCAGATCTGCTGCTTCCTGCAGACCCTGGGAGCATTTTGGCCACCAAGCAGCTGAAAACTTCAGGTCCCTCCACCCAGGCTTCATCTCCTACGTGACACACAAGTAAAGCACCACCTGTGATGAATTATCAATCATCTGAAATCGGGCCGGTGGGACGCTCGGGTTAAAATAACATCTCCGCTTCTTTCTCAGTTTCCTGTCGTCGCCTCGGCTGGCTGATGTCAGGGTTCGTGAGACGTACATGCTGAGCACCGGTGCTCTGATGCTGATGTGGGACTTCCACTCTCTGATGATGTAATCATCTTTCACGTTGATGTTCAATAAACGTCCATAAATCGTTTCAGTGGGTTTAGGGATCATTACCTCCTCGTCCTCAAGAATGCTGCACCTTATTTTAAAAAGTTCAAACCCACATCAGGTGTCAAAGACTGAAACCTGGGGGACTTCCTGTTTGTCCTGCAGGTTTCTGCCTTCGGTTTCCTCACAAGGAAGGAACTATGCCTCATTCTCCGATCATTACTACGACTCTGTCTGGAGGCCTCTGAACTTCTACGCCAACCACGACCCGCCGATGGAGGGCCAGCTGTGGGAGGAGCTATCATCAGAGGATCATCATGCTGTACCAGAGGAGCGCAGACAGCTGAGGGAGGTGCAGAAGCGGCTCTGCTCCTGGTCTGGTTTTTGTGGGGACCTAAAACCTTCTCACTGTTTTATGCTTTAGTGTTTCCTAAAGAGAAACAAAAACTTTCACATTCAGGTTTTTCTTTGTTTTGCTCCAGAATATATTTAGAGAAGAAAATTATGAAAAATTAAGGAGGATCCATGATTTCTCATCTCGTCTCACCTGTCCTATTTTATTCTATTTTATCTGATCCTATTCCATTGCTTTTGTCTTAATTTTTGATGCACTTAACTTGTACTGTCCATTTTCTGCTGCGACAAAATAATTTCCCACATATGGGACTAAGAAAACTTTATCTTATCTTTCCTCTTTACAAAAACGCTGATGCCTTTATGAGATTACAGAAATCATCTGAACTGCAGGTTCCTGCAGACACAGAATATTTCTGTCACACAGAGGAAAACTATAAAGAAGGCGAACGTTGGTTTCTGCCATACTGCACTATGCATTACTATAGTAACCTCAAAGAGCCATATTATTGGTCAGATCATTAAAGTTGCTCCAAAAGGCTGCTACTCCTGGTCCAGTGGTCCAGTTCAGGTAAAGCTAGCAAACAGCTGGCAGCTACATCCGCCTGTGCCGCCATCCACCTGCCAGTCATAGAGGCCACGCCCCTAAAAACACAAACTTTGATACAATTTAAACAGGTGAGTTATAAATACGTCATCATTTTTAATTATCTACAGAGGATAACGTGTTTGTTTCTGCTGTAAACTTTTGACATGGGAGTCTATGGGAACTGACTCACTGCTGCCTCTGCTGGGCGTCAGAGGAACTGCAGCTTTTGGTGCTTCATTTTTCTATTTTACTTTTTTTCTAATTAGTTATATAAATATTTTCAGCCTTGTTTAGCTCCTCCTATTTAAGTGTCAGATATAAACGTGGAGCGGGTGAAGGAAAGATGAAAGTGAAGAATAAATGCTGGACTGTGTAACGGAGTGATGATGAAGTTCATAACACGATCAAACACAAAACACGGCTTTGACTTAAATCCTTCACTGTTTCTGTGAAGTGAGGAGTAACGCTAGGAGGGTCTCAAGTTTTCCTCAGTGTACCGAAGCAGAGGCAGAACCCAACAGGAAAAAGATGACTTTGGTTTTCAAAATAAAAGAGTCAAGCTTTATATGTAATATTTTTCTTTTCTGTGGGTCAATCTGTGTTTGTCCAGGACTTTGAACACAATAATGAATCTGCAGCCAAGTCTAATATTACAGCTGCAATAAGGAATATTAAAGCTTAAAAATGTACCTGCTGAGAATTTTATCATTAGCTAATCTTTAATGGGAAAGCATAAAAAACAGAATAATCCCTCACATAACTTTCTTGAACGTATTCAGATTGATTGTTTTTGTCTGAACTCTGAATACCTATGAAATAACACAAAGAATCAGCTGGAAGCTGAACATTTGGCTTGGAAAGACAGTTCTGGCAGCAGTTTAATCAGATCATTGAAATTAAAATTTGTCCTGTTATAAACGTTTCTGTTGGGAAATGTTGGGATTGTGACAAATACAGGCCTACATTTAATTACTCAATAATTTTTAGTCTGAACCCGAAAATACACAAAATTCCATACAGGCTTTGACTGAGTGAACTCATGAATCAGCTGCCGAAACAGGTTAAATAGCTTAAATGAAGTGGAACAGCTCTGAGAAATAAAATAGAATATGAGTCTTACAGATTTCTATTATCACTCTTGCTCTGCATAACAATAAATAAAGTAGTAGTAGTAAAACTATTTAAAAATGTATAATAATACTAATAATGATTCTACTACTACTACTACTACTACTACTAATAATAATAATAATAATAATACCCAAAATTGGGAAATTACCACCTCAAAGCAGCTAAAACTAGAAATAAATATAAAAAAAGATCTTAGATAGGTAAACTTTTTTTTTACCTGAACTACCTGAAAATACACAAAACCTCATCAATAATTCAAAATGTAAAAAAAAAAGCTAAAAAAAAACCCCTAAAATTATAATTTAACAATTTAAAACCATTTTCAGGTTTATTTTGAAAATCTTGTGCGGAAGTTTGGCGCTGCGTTTACGGAAACTTGACACCGTCGAGAGATTCGGGAGAATCCAGCGGAGAGAATGTGGCATTCAGGGAGAGGAGGGAAGACAAGATGAGCGACGGCAGCCGGAGGGCCGTGTGAAGTACCAAAGTCCGAAATCTGGATGAAAGTCTTGTGGGGGGGTTTTCCTGCGTGGGGGTGAAACTTTCATCTGACGCTCTTGGAAGTTTATAAAAACGCGTGGAAACGGGATTTTCCTGGAATACTAATGCGCGGATAAACGCTACTTTGGAATCTTCCTGAACACCGACGCCGTGTCCGTTAAATGTCGGGGATTAAAAGTTTCTGCGTGTTTACTGAAGAGGCGGTAAGTCTCGAGTCCACTTATCGTGAAACGATGTTTCTTTTAAAGCTGTAAATGCGGTAAAAGTGACCCGTTAGGTAAGTCGGGTACAAAGGTCGGCGGTGTGTTTACATGCCAGCTCCTCGCCACACGTCGAGTCCCCGTCACGCTGTGGACATTTACACGAGTTTATTGCTAATCTGCCGAGTTAATGTTATATTAATAGAAACTTTCTAATGTGTGGACACTGGTCTCCAGTTCGGCTCGTGTTTACATCAGCAGGGATCTCTTTAATGCTCCAAAGTCGGTGATAGATGTGGACAACGGGGCTCGCTTTATTACTAAATCGTGAGTTTGTGAAACCTTACAGAGCAGTGTTGATAATATGTTCGTGTCTGAGTTGAACATCAGGGGACGTCTCATGAATATGTTCCGCGTACTTTATGATGATGCTTTTATAGAAGGAGCACTTTTAAATGGAGTCTGCGTGTTAAATGCTCCGAGCAGTCGATCCTGCAGCAGCGCAGCTTGACTTCAGACTAATAACTGTCAAGTGATTCGTGTTTGCGGTAATAAAATGATTTATTTAGCTCCACCGTGGAGTCCCCGCAGTGTCTCAGAGAAATTTATGTGCGTTGTTGCTCTTGTCATGAGTGCAGCGAGGAAAGCAAACGCAAAGGGGGGACGTGATGGGTGTAAATGGGAATGACAGCTCTGCTTAGGCCCTGTGCTCCTCTGTGGCAGCCTGGTTATGTAAGAGGGGAGCAGGGAGCTCAGTGGTGTGTCGGGACTGGCTGCAAACACTCCCCAAAACACTCTTTCTGTTTATGTGGCAACAGAGTTTGTGAGGCCAGGCTGGTGTTTCAGGCAGAGCCGGGGACCGACCCGCTCTGCCAGCCTCCTCCTCCTCCTCCACCCGTGTGTCTGAGGCTGCGAGGCCACTGGCCTGGAAGAGTTTAAGTAGAGCTCAGATGAAGTCACGTCCACAGTGAGTGCCCAGAGGGGAGCAGCGAGCCGGCCCACTCGTCACACACTCGCAGTCAGGTGACTTTGTGAAAAATGAGTTTGGTGTGTTTACACAGCAGAGGCAGCCGGCGAGTGTGTGTGTGTGTGTCTGTGTGTGTGTGTGTGTGTGTGTGTGTGTGTGTGTGTGTGTGTGTGTGTGTGTGTGTGTGTGTGTGTGTGTGTGTGTGTGTGTGTGTGTGTGTGTGTCTGTGTGTGTGTGTCTGTGTGTGTGTGTGTGTGTGTGTGTGTGTGTGTGTGTGTGTGTGTGTCTGTGTGTGTGTGTGTGTGTGTCTGTGTGTCTGTGTGCGTGTCTGTGTGTGTGTGTGCGTGTGTGTGCGTGTGTGCGTGTCTGTGTGTGTGTGTGTGTGTGTGTCTGTGTGTGTGTGTCTGTGTGTCTGTGTGCGTGTCTGTGTGTGTGTGTCTGTGTGTGTGTGTGTGCGTGTGTGTGTGTCTGTGTGTCTGTGTGTGTCCGTGTGTGCGTGTCTGTGTGTCTGTGTGTGTGTGTGTGTCTGTGTGTGTGTGTGTGTGTGTGTGTGTGTGTGTGTGTGTGTCTGTGTGTGTGTGTCTGTGTGTGTGTGTCTGTGTGTCTGTGTGCGTGTCTGTGTGTGTGTGTGCGTGTGTGTGTGTCTGTGTGTGTGTGTGTGTGTGTCTGTGTGTGTGTGTGCGTGTGTGCGTGTCTGTGTGCGTGTCTGCGTGTCTGTGTGTGTGCGTGTGTGCGTGTCTGTGTGTCTGTCTGTCTGTGTGTGTCTGTGCGTGTGTGTGTGTCTCTGTGTGTGTGTGCGTGTGTGTGTGTCTGTCTGTGCGTGTCTGTGTGTCTGTGTGTGTGCGTGTGTCCGTGTGTGCGTGTCTGTGTGTGTGTGTGTGTGTCTGTGTGTGTGTGTCTGTGTGTCTGTGTGTGTCTGTGTGTGTGTGTGTGTCTGTGTGTGTGTGTCTGTGTGTCTGTGTGTGTGTGTGTGTGTGTGTGTGTGTGTGTGTGTGTGTGTGTTTGCTGAGCTGTAATTAAACCGAGCTCTCATGTGGCAGCAGGTTAAACTCTCACTCAGCCCGAGCTCGCAGCTTACCTGGACAGGTAAGTCCCGCTGTACGACACGGCGCTGCAGATGCAAAAGATTCAGGAAATGTTTATTTCTGACATATGACAGAATACATGTGTGCAAATGAGAGGGAGAGACAGGTGAAAGGTGAACACGGAGGGAGCAGAGGTCCTGGGTGAGCTCAAACACCAGGGGTCAGCCATCGGAGGAGGGTGCAGGCAGGTGGAGAGGAGGGACAGAAGGGGAGGAGCAAGAGGGGAAAGAAGGTTTAAAGATGGTTTGGAGACGGAGGAGGCCGAGCTGAAGATGTTGGACAGCAGGGACAGGGTCATAAATGAGGCCATCAGAGGGGCAGCTCAGAGTCAGGGAGGCTGAGACGGTCTGAGCGTGTGCAGAGGAGGGAAAAGGAGGACCTCAGAGGAGAGGATGCTGCGATACGAGGAGCTGATTGGATGTGGCGAAGAAGAAGAAGCAGGTTGTCCTCGTGCTCTGGTTTCACAACAGATGTTTGCAGGAGTGGCTGAGGTCTGTTTCTTTGCAAAAGTGTGAGTGATTCCATCATGTGCGCTTTATGATGTGAGGAGGAACGTGCGCGCGCAGCCAGGGTAGTGTTGATGGTGTTCATGCCCTGAGGCCGCAGCAGCGTTAAAGCAAATCACTGCACAGGCTCAGGAGCACCGCAGGGACCGCCCACCAACAAAAACCAGTGAAACAGCCGTAACCCCCAGCATCGTCCCCGGGTCCGAGCTCAATAATGATGGACTGCACTGTCCCTCAGTCTGACCAATCAATGAGGGGACATCAAGGACAGCGGGGACAAAGTTTTCCTTGTGCACTTAATAAACAGTGTAATGTGTGTTCACAGTAAAAGTGATAGGTGTGTTCACATGTTAGTGGTGCAGCGCTGCAGTGTGTGGTGATGTCACCAGGTCTTCCCAGCATCTCGCTCCTGATGCTGGCGCCCTCGTGAGCGCACCTGTGCTGTGTTTGGCCTGAGAGCTGCAGCGCTGTAGCCTGAGCTCAGATCGATCGGTCGTGCAGCTGTCAGAGTTTTCACACTGCTTCCTGTGCGACGCCTCTGAGGCATGAACTGATCTGTTTTTCTCGTTTCAGGCTTCCACACAGCCCCCACCCCCCGCCGACCCTGGAAATAACAACTGCCTGAAATAAAGAGAGCGGGAAACTAAGCTGCAGAGATCTTTCTCTCCTTTTATCTCTCCTGGTGCTCAGAGGAAACCTCACCGAGGAGTTTTTATCTTCACTTTGCTTCCTGGCTGTCAGCTGAGCATCACAGGGAGGAAGTGGAGGTCTCACCTGAGGCAGGTGCACGTCTCCGGTGCTCAGCATGAGGCCCTGAGGAGGCAGCGGGATTTACTGTGAAGCTGGTTGGATTTTAAGGAGGAGGAGGAGGAGGGAGCATGGGGAAGGAGCAGGACCTCCTGCAGGCGGTGAAGAGTGGAGACCTGCTGTCCACCCAGAAGCTGCTGTCCAAGCTGAAGACCAACAGGAACAGTAAGTACGCCGGAGCCGATTATTCAAAACAGACACTCAGAAAACGAATCAAATGTCTGAGCTGCTCGTGTAAGTGGGGCGAGGTAAAACTGATCTAAGGTCAGACGCATCCCAACATCGACCCGTCGCACCATCAAAGTCAAAGAGCTCCTGTTTCTGTTAACATGGGACGTGTTTAAACATGTTTCTGTCCTGCTGTGACTAAAATCAGAGTTTATGGCGTTCTGATTTTGTTACACACTTTAGATGAACGTGGGAATGCTTTTTTCTCTGCACTCGTGGCTACGGCTCGGCCATATTATACCGTTCACGGTAATACCGCTACAGTGTTAGGCAATGATAAGAAAATGAAATACGGCGATAGAATATGGGCATGCGCAGTGCCTTTGTTTTCATACGCTAACTAACGGCCGAAAAAGCATGGCGGCGACGGAGAATGAGAAGGGAGAAAGCGGATCGTTGAGTGAAACGGATGAACCAGAACTGGTTTGTAAAAATGCTGCAACTTCAGGTTTAGCTTTCGTCTGTCAGATACACAACAAAGCAGATTTTTTGTAGAACATGCAAGCGGCCGTCGTTATTGCCGTACTTGTTGGACTAAGGTGCTCGTAAATCTGGGAGTAATCTGGGTCCTAAACTCAGTTTACTTCAGGTCCTAAAGTCAAACGGCCACTGCAGCATCACTGAGAGTTAAACTGTCTAAATTCTTTCATCTTTAATAAAATGATCAGCGTTGCTGCTTTACCAGGTGTAACGATGAAGTTTAACATCCAGGCATCCATGAAAACAGAATTCATTACATTTAACGGAGTTAGAAGTTAGCAGGAAGTTAGCTTGCTAGTTTCGCTTGTTACCCAAGCATGATGTAGCATGTTCTGACTGAGAGATTTCTGAAGCATTCAAACGTACAGCTCTGCTATCACTTCCAACATGAATGAAGGCAGAAAACTAAACAGCAGTGACGTTTGTAGGGTTACTGAAGTTGGGCTAGCTGCTATATAATGATGTGCTACGTGGTGGCTAGCGACACAGCTATGTTAGCATAACATAAACAGTGAAGCTGGAGGACGAACACTAACACTTTTCCACTTATAAAAGTTAACGTTAAGGTTCCTGATATTTAGAGATAAATGCAATCGCATGGCAGGATGCTGTAAACGGACCAAACTTCAGTCAGAACAACTGAGATAATCCATCCACAATACGAGGTTAGTCATTAATATACTGCAACAACATGGGAATAGAGCAGCTGCCAGAGAATTCAACATTAATGAATCAATGGTACAGAAGAGGAGGAAGCAAGAAGAATGAGTTTAATAAAGTTTGATTTATCTGACTGCTTTGTTTCGCTTAATGTGCCTTATAATCCCGTGCACCTTATGGTCCGAAAAATACATATTTGACTTTTTTATTTGGCACACTGCAGTTTAATGTTGCAAAGCTCCTCTTTTTAACTTCAGTGGATATTATACATGGTTAACTCAGGATATGTCAGCACATTTATATAGCTTTAATGCACATAAAAACAGCTGCTTGTTTAAGTGAAATAAATGGATGTTTTTTTGCACTAGTAAAGTTGTGGAGTTGTATTTTGTCTCGCATCAGTTATATCGTCAATTATATCGTTTTTGCAAATTTTCAAATATATATCGTGATAAATATTTTTGCCCATATCGCGCTGCTCTACTGGTGGCCTTTCTCAGTAACAAACGTAAAGAAACTGAATCACGGCATCGGCTTGTGTCATAAAGCTGCCGACTGTGCAGGGTCGTCACAGGGCTCGGAGAGGCTCCTGCTGCTGTCACACAGACTGAAAGTCTCCGGACGGTGATGCCGGCGTTTCCTCTAACAGCAGCTCAGATGTGGAGGAAGCACTTTTGCGTCTGTTCTCTTGCGTCGGGTTTTTGGGGTTTAAGTGTTTTCATGTCAGTGGAAAGTGTGAAACCAGAGCTGACCCAGATACCTGCCGTGGGTTCGGCTTTCTCTCATCAGACGCTCCTCAACACTGGCTTCGCTGACAAACTGAACGAAATGACTTGACCTAAGGATCCGCAGTGCATCGCACAAACGTGTGCGCTGTGGGCCGTAGCACACGTTCACTTATTCTCCACAAACGTGTAAACTGTGCTGCCTTCACAGTGTGGAGCATCTGCAGGCTTTTGCACACGTCTGTCCCCGAAATTGATGTTGGGAGCACGAGAGAGAACGGCGTCGCAAATCTTGGATACAACAGAAATGTTTGTTTGTAAACACGTTGATTTGGATCTGGTCCATGATGTCAGCCCTGCAGAGCACAGCGCTGAGCTTCGATGGAGACGGGTTACTCAAATCCACACAGACAAAACTTTATGGAGCACAACTTGAATATGCGAGACGTAATCTGCTGCTAAGTTTGGCCTCTTATATCAAAAACCTTTGTGAATATTTCAGCCGTGTTTCAGATAAAAACCTGAAGCTTTCACTTCGTGTTCTTACTCTCAGAAGAACTCAGACTGTAATCACAAGTGTGTGTGTGCGTGATGAGCCTAGTGGTCGAGAGACAGGAGACAGGAAGGGTAACTGGTTAGCAGCAAGTGAACTTTCAGAATAAGAGTGCAGGGGTGGATGAGCATCGCCATAAGACAGGATGTTCCAAAGAAGTCAAACATTTGTTTAGTGTGTGAGTTAAAGGAGGCGCGTGGCTCAAACCAGTGCTGTGTTCGTGTCAGCTGTGTGTGTTTGGTGTTGTTTGCCGCCACAATCACAGTGTCGCGTCATTTCACAGTAACAGGTAATCATGTAGCGTCTCTGAGGGGCGGTTCCCCAGCTCCCTCAGGGAATTCCCGCGCTCTGTCACATGACCCCCACCAATTGTTCTCACCTCGGCGCGCCCGATCCATCACCTGAGCACATCACGCCACCGCTCCTTAAACTGCTGTCTCACAGAGGTCAGAGGTCAGATGTCCACTCGCCTCCGTTTTTCGCATTCGTCTGATTTTCAAGTGACCCGGACTCGTCCTCCTGACATCTGGCGCTCTGATGTCGCCCCCGACCGTTATCACCCAAATCACAAGGAGCTCCCAGATGGTGGCCGGCCAGGATTAAGAGGATTTATACTGCTGGTTGGGGGGGGGGGGGGGGCTCTGTTTATCTGATGCTGAAGAACCTGCTTCTCAGAGCTCTGATGTTTACAGTCAGCACGCTGACTCTGCACTGCTCTGTTGCTCAGATTAGACCAAGACTAATCCCATAAACTCAGCTCAGGCTTTGTGCGTCGCAGGTCCATCGTTAGTTTGGTGTTTCTGCAGGTTTTGGACGCAGCAGCTGTTGGATCATTTCACAGCGTTATTCACTGTGGGGAAAGTTCCCTTTGTATTAACTGTAAAAATGGAAAGAAAGCTGATCTGAAGCTGCTGCAGAGCGGCAGCGTTCACCGTTTCTTATGTTTGGAGTCGACCCAGTAAACGATCGGGAGCATCGCCCCGTCTGTGCTTTGTGACGGAGCAGAGGAAAAGCCAGAGTCCCTCTCAGTGACTCAGGGGGTTTCGTCTCAGTTATAAAAGCAGACATGAGTCATGGTCTCTGCGAGGCTGTGTGGCAGCTTAATGGCTCTTTGTAAATAATGTGAAATTAGTCATCGGGAAGCATACAATGCAACGCTGCAGTGGAGCTTTTCCTTCTGGGAAAATCCCGGTTCCCCTGATACAGGTCCTGAGACCTGTGAACGGCCCAGAGAGCGTTTGGCTCCAGAAGAAGGCCGGGTTAGAGCGGAGCGCTCTTGGGTGTCGGGTCCGGGTAAAGCGTGTTTCGTACAGAAGCGTGTAGCGTGCCGGGCTGTGGTGTTCACGTGGTCAGGTGTGCGTGCAGAAAGACTGAGCAGCTCGCTGCTGTGAGGTCACATCGGTGCAGCAGGTGGATTTTTTCATCTTATCTTCCCTGCACTCGTGCTCCACGCAGACTTTTTATCTTCTTCTACATTTCCTGCTGAGCGCCTGTAACTTTCCCCCACAGAGATCACAGCTCTCATCTTAAAGAACTTTCACTTTCTCATTTTGTGCTGCTGATGAAATCTGATGTTTCAATTCTTCGTCCTGAGTCTGAGAGGATTTTAGACCTTTGAACACAGGAAGACCTCGTCTCACAGCATCAGTGTTCTTCTGACTGAACCCGATGTCGCGTAAAGCCGTCGGAAACACAATGGCGAGCGGCGTGTCGGAGGCTCTGCTGGGACAGGGAGCGCGGGGGCTCGTCAGCGCCCACATGCTGCCTGTTTCGTGTTTTATTCAGGGGTTTGGGTTCAAACTCAGCTCAGCCAATCACGCTGATCGCTGCTGGCAGGTCTCCCGTCCTCTTCTGGACTACTTTCACGCTGCTGCTCCTTCAGTTTCCTCCTTTAAAGACGTCTCCTTCTGCTTTCTCGCGCCGGTTCTGGTCTTTATCGGGAGTTTCAGAGCTTTTTAAAAGCACCTCATCAACTTTCTCCCGTCTGCGCTGATGTGTGGAGGAGCTGGAGGCAGGAACAGACTGATGGAAGACGACGAAAACTTGAATGAGAGAGGAGGAAGGATCTAAACAGGAAAGAGCTCTCTCCAAAAATCCCTTTCTCTCTCTGGTGCACAGCTCAGCTGGAGCTGCACCAACGTCGAGTTCAGACGATGTCCATCACATCTCATTACGGTGTCTCTGAGCCATGAAGCCTTTATGTCGTCTCCTAACCTCACAGACGCACGTTTGTTGTTTGTTTCTATAAATTTGGCAAAAATTGACCCAAAGGCGTCGAGCCTGAGCAGGAAGCGTCAGGTCGGACCGGATTCTCACTGCCGTTAACGCCTGTAAACCTCAGAGACACCCGGGTCTCGCAGTCACGATGATCCTCGCTTTTCCTGCTGACGGGTGGGAATAAATGAGTTGCGGGTCGTTTGAAGCGGGAAGCATTTCAGGGCTTCACACGGTCGCGCTGATCCAGCTTTCCTTTGCTCGCTGCTCTGAGGCGGAGGTTGGCACATACAGCGGGCTGTTTG